CTCACTATACTCGTTGAAATTGTACGTGATATTTTTCATTTGCTTTAATAATTATGTTCGATATATCTGCCATGAACTACGCTATTATGCACAAGTCAATTGTATAGGGCCGTGATCTTATTGTAATAAAATTAACTTGTCGATGAGAATATCTAGCAAATTTTTTAATTACCTATAATTAATCTAATTTTGTTACAAAGATCATTCTCCTATAAAACTGACTTGTATAGTTGTGCATGATAGCAGTTTAATATGTTGAACACATATGCGCAAATAGGGAGGGGGATTTAGGGGCTAAGCCTCTTCCCCTCAATATGTCCATAGCCCCCCAAACATTTCTTACATTTTGTTTTAAGCTTATTCAATATTATCAAAGTAAGGCTTTAGCCCCCTTCCCTAAATCTCTGACACTATTTGAGCCTATGGTTGAACATTATTATAAAACAGATGAAAAATATTACATAGGTATTATAGTATCAACGAGTGCTTATAGTGTGTTCTTTATTATACCTTTTGGATTATCATTATAGTTATCACTCGTAAGGCTGAGAACTTTAAGTTTTTTCATATTTATCTAGAAAGGTTGCTAAACAATGCGAGTGATGGATGTACCTGAATATGTTTCATAAATCATAACACAAGAAGGTTACCTATATAAAAAATTTAATTTTGCATATTTTTTCAAATTTCGTCTTTATTGCATAATATATAAATGCTTATTTGAGTAAATTATTCAAATTCAGAGCATAATATTATATATACAAATTTAGAAAATGTTGATATTAAATATAATATAAGATAGAAAATCTGTACAAAAATATTACAGTCAACCCATAAATAATATTAAAATTATCGGTTAGGGAATTCACTATGAGGGCGATAACATTTCGTCTAGTGCAGGGGTGTCCAACCTTTTGTGAAGACTGGGCCACATCATATAGGTAGAAGTTGTTGTGGGCCACATACTTTTTTTTTAATAATAATACATTCAAATTTAATGATTAAATTATAATCTATAATACAACAATACATTTTTTTATAATTTTACAATAGCAAATAATAAGCAGAAATATTTTTACAATTATTAATATTTAATAATTCAATTATAAGTACACAGAAAAATATATTTATTTATAATAAAAAAAAGTTTTAGTTTAAAAAAGTTAAAAGTCATTAGTTTTTTTTTAATGTGAAATTTGAAATTTCCTTTTTTGTGAAAGTAATGAATCAATATCTGGATCGATTGAAGTTGTGGAAATCCTTAAACAACTTTCAAGGTGCTTGTCTGATATAGTGAACCGATTCTTACTCTTTATGTATTTCATTCTTGAAAAAAATTGTTCGCAAATGTAAGTACTGCCGAAAAGCGAGAACATGAATAAGACATGGTCATGACTCATGAAGGACTGGATATGTTTCTTTGGGTAGATATAATTTATAAAAATCTAATAAAGATGACTGATTGAATTTTTCTTGGAGTTGAATATCAGATGATTGCAACTCAATGCATTCCACTTGAAATTTAGTTTCCACAGCAGTAATATCAACCGAAAATGGTGTTGCGAAAATAGCTAAGAGTTGACTATTCTTACGAAAATATTCTATTCTTTCTCGTAATATTAATATATTATGTATAATTAATTCATGGTTTTAAAATTGAAGTGAGGGCCTCATCAAAATCTATTGCGGGCCGCATGTGGCCCGCGGGCCGCGGGTTGGACACCCCTGGTCTAGTGTGATAGGAAGTAAATTTAAGTTGTTAGTTATAATTTATCGCATACCGTTGGTTGATTACTGTGAAATTAATTTTTCTAGTTTTTATCAAATAATTACAATCATATTTTTCAAGCGTTTTTAGAATTTGTTTTTTAGACCATAATATAAGATATGTTTATTAGTCATATATTACATTAAATAGCCGGCCAAGTGCGAGTCGGACTCGCGCACGAAGGGTTCCGTACCATTATCTAAAATTATGTTATTCTAGGTTTTTTTTTATGTAATTTCGTCCAAATTTGAATTTAAAATGACTATAAAAATAAACTGTGCTTGTGTATTTTTTAGTTTTTTTGGTAACAAAATCAACTACTTACGTAGAATCTTGTTTTAAATTTTCAATCCTTAGATAGTCTAACATTTTATACATTTTCAACTACAAAATAATTATTCAATTTTAAATTTGATAAATTTTGTCAAAATTGGATTTTTAAATGCTTATAAAAAAAAAAAATGGGAATATTTATTTTCAATATTTTTCAACTGATATTGTAACAATATATCAGGAGCCTTGTATTAAATTTTTACACTTTTTGCCCCAATCGATTAAACTTTATTGATATTTATAGAAAAAAAACTAAAATAATTGAAAACTGAAAATGTCCGGTAACAGCTCAAAAAGAGTCAAAATATTTTCAAATTTGTATGGTGTAAGGGAAATGCTAATAAAAACATTCAGTGAAATTTTCATGTATCTACAGCTACATGAGAAATCAAATGAATATCCAATATTGTAAAAATTTGAATTTCAAACGCTCATAAAAATTTAATTTGACTTTCTTATAGACATTTTTTTCTTGATAAAGGTAGATAATCTTATAAGGAATCTTGTATCACATTTTAAAATCTTAGATTTAAAAAGAACATTTTTTACGAATTTTTAACTCAAAATAATTTGTTAAATTTCGTGATTTTTCCATATTTTGTCAATTTTTGGACTTTAAATGATTATAAAAAAAAACTGTGACTAAGGATTTTTAATATTTTTCATCTGCCTTTGAAACAATATACTAGAAGACGTCTATTAAATTTTCAAGCTTTTTTAACCAACTTATAAATTTTTATTGATATTCATAAAAAAAAAAATAATAAAATTGGAAACTGAAAATGTCCCTAAACAGTTCAAAATAAATCAAAATATTTTTAAAATGTTATCGTGTATAGTAAATGCAAATATAAACAACCAGTGAAAATTTCACTTATCTACGGTCATTTGTTTTAAAGTTACACCAAAAACCAAAATCGATTTTCTCGAAAACAGATATTAGTGTAAAAATTCCAGGTTTTCCTTAATTTTTATTTTGTTTTTCAAGCCGCTTTTGAAAACTACTGTTTTTCACTTTTGACTCCCCAAAGTACCAACTAGATTCACTTTCCTATCAAAAAAGCTACTGTTGAAGAAAATCCAAACTTTTACTGTCCTAAAACGTGATGACAGACACACACAAAAAAAAAAAAAAAACACACATCATTGTAAAATCAATACATTCATCGTTCCACTCAGAATCTAAAATGATCGACTTTTATAGCTAAGGATTGAAAATTTAAAACAAGGGTCCACGTAAATAGGCAAATATATAAATTACTTTATTCACAATAATAACATCAAATATACTTAGTAATATCATAGGGTGACTGACCGTTTTCGCTCAGAATCGTTTTTCTTATACAATGATATTATAACATTGAATTCAAATTTAACACCATCCATAACACATTCTAGTGACCCACTTGTAACCTACTGTACAGCAGAGTGACTTTTTATTTTTAATAACAATTTAAGTTAAGATGTAGAAAGTCTTATGATGAATTTTTAGTAAATTATCAAATATCAACTATGAAAATCAACATTTTTATGAATTTCAAACCGAAAAATAATTTGAACATTTTGGGGATTTTGATAATATAAGTATGATATAATTCAAGAAAATGTTATGTCTATAAATAGCTAGAAAAGAGTTAAGAAAATGTAAAATGTTAAACCATGTATTGTAGATGTTAGGGGGCTCCAGCGTATCATGTTTTAAGGAGTAATGTTTAGGCAACTCACATGACAAACATTTAGGCTATGTCTATGTGCGAGTAGTAAATGAACATTAGCGTGTGTTCAAAGTTAAATATCCAATATCGTTACCTAGTACCTACCTATTATAAAAGCTATATTAATATAAAATAATAGCTAGGGTTCTTTAGTCCATACAAATTAAATTGTTGTCACGCTTGCACCGAATGTTTAGGTTTCGATGACGGTTGAAGCGTTGGAAAGTGACCTATTTTAGTTCAGCTGGTAGTAGAGTGGAGATTTCAAAAAGTGTTGGGTGGTAAAGTGGAAATCCCCAAAAGTGCAGGGCGGTAAAATGGTAATCCCCAAAAGTGCTGGGCTTGCATATCACTCGTATACCCTGCACAAACAGACATTGAAATCTATACCACGGTCTTTACAAATTAAATATAAGCTTTTGGTTACATGTTATATTCATATTATGAAATAATCCTTGCATAACGCTTAAACATTTTTCTTTCGTCAAATAATCTGGTTGTTGAATAAACTAAAATTTAGCGCAAGGCATAATCGAGGCCAGCGGACATCTAATTAATTTACCATGTATAATCAATGTTATTAGTCAATATATTCAATAGACATTAGGACATTAGATAAGTACCTACGTATTTACTATACATGGAATAATTATAATTACTTGGAAGGCGGACTTTGTAACTGACAACGTTCAACGACAATTATCGATTAGGTATAATATAATAATTATTGTTTATTGTTTGGTTGTTAAAACACAACAGTCATTAAATATTATTTCCTAGTATTGACTTTCAAATGTTTCGACCGCCACCAACTTGTCAATGACCACTAGAGTAGAGATTTGAGACGAGTCCGACAGTCCGAGCACAGGCCACAGAATAGGTCCGGTACCACTACCATCGCCTTTTGCCCCACCACTCACCAATGTACCGCTGCACCGTTGGCATGCACGTTCGTGTGTTATCACGTTATCAACTTACAACTACATAATATGTGATATGTGTGCTGTAGTGTGATAACGCTGTTGGCCTTACAGAGTTACAATCCTATGAGCGTGCGTGAGTGATTTTCTGCAGTTTCATTCGTTTGTCACGTATGACATTGCTGTGAGTCTTTTGCTGCAGCTTTTTTTCTTTCCGTCGGGCGATCCATTCGTTCCTTAAGCGCGCCCTCACACACACACACAATGGCGCTGTACAGACTTGTGGGTATTTCGAACGAAATGTCGCTGATCAACGTCAAGCGAGCCCTGACAACAGGTATCTATGAACTTAATAAAATAGTAATAATATATGTAATAAAATATTGTGATTGTGTTGTTATTGTTTCCGCTGTATGTCTAATGTGTACAATAGTATTGAATCAAGCTAATTCATTGCTAAGCCCAACCAATCTAACTAAGCTTTGTACAAAGGTAAATGATACAGGTACCATTTCCTACCTATCCATTAAAGTATTCAAATAATTGTTTTTAATGTTTCATAATGTATTCAGAGCTTTAATAATAATTGCTACAAATATGAAATAAGTACCACTAGTGTTACAGATCTACATGTAATAGGTTTTTCCAAATATTTTATTTTATGTTTTTTTTTATCATTATAATAATATAATGTTAATGTTGAAAAGGTTAAAGTTCATGAAAAATAATCTGAGAAATTTAAAGTCATCAAAATATTTTTCATACTTTACTTTAATGTTATGTGTTTGTAATTTATTTTTTTAAGCAATATCTAATTTTCTAAGTATAATACTTTACTGTTTGGTACTAAAACAATTATAGGTATAAACAGTAATTTAAGTTTATTGTGATCTGATAATTAGAACTAGTTCTGATTATAATAACAATTAAAACCTTAATACCTATATTTTTTAAATGTAATTTCTATATTATTTATGTTTATGATAAACTACTGGGAGGCTCATGGTATCTTTATATTTTCTTTAGCTTAAGGTGTATCCTTAGATTATCTGTAGATATTATATATGTTAAAATTTAAAATGTTCTATTTGAAAAATTAAATAAAAAACCTCTATGAAATGATCTTCTAGGAAATAAATTAATTTTAATGAGTTAAAATAGTTTTTATGGGTCATCTAAAAATGATCATCCAATCATTGAATTAACTTCCTGGTTGTATTTTAAAAAGACCTTGAAACTAGTATAATAATAATTCTATTTTCAATTATGATTAAAATAAAAAGGTTTTTATTAATAACTAATTTTTATTCTTGTAAATATTTCACTTAAAATATATTAATCAGAGTATAAAATCTATCAATTACTTTATACTTAAATATATTTAGGTATACTAGGTATCACTATTATTATAAATTATACGTTTAAATGAACGATTATATTAATAGAATTGTAGTTAAGTAAAACAATGATATTATAAAATAATAAGATAACTTAGGTATATTTATTTTTTAGTTACAGATGTAATATTATTAGTACTTATACTGTAAGAAGCTTTTATTTTGTTCGTTCTGTCTTTCCTAAGTGTAATTATAATTGTTATATAAGTAATATAATAAACCAAATGTAATCCTCTACTGAAGTTTGTGAAGTGCTTTTATCAATTTTTAATAACATTTTCAATAATAAATTACTATGATAGCTTCAAAAAACACAATAGTTTTATTTATTTAGTTAATTATTAAGGTACCTATAAAGAATTTTAAAAAAAGGCCTAGATAAAAACAATATCTAAATTCAATTATGAAAAATAACTTTTAAACAAATAAAGTATATAATTGTATTCTTAAAAATTGCTTAAATAAAATATATTGATTTTGGTCCATTTTTAATTACATATTTTACCTATTCTTAATTCTTATATATACATTAGAACTTCTTGATTATCCGCGACTCGATTAACCGTGCTCACTCTTCCGAAAATTTAAAAATAAGTGTGGACTGTAGATGTATATGTAGTTATAATCGAACTTTTTATATTACATAATACACGATATCGACAATCGTATTAATGACATTTTTGACGATAATAATATGAAGATAAGCAATATTGTACATCTAATAACTTGTTGTATACAATATTATGGATGCACGAGTGGATGCATGTATAACATTATTGTATGTATATTATGTATATTTCTAATTATAATTGAATCCAAGTTTTTAAAATTTCATTATTATAAAATTGTAACTAACCTATGTATTTTTAATTATAATTAAATAAAAAATTTCATTATTACAAAAAGTCTCGATTAACCGTGATTTTCATTTATCTGTGTGACCCCCTCCCCATCATTACCCCGGATAATCGAGGTTCCACTGTATTATTGTTACTTAATATAAACTTATACTCCTTATGCTGAGTTACATAAGAAATTGAATACTTTAATCTTCTATTAATGGGTCACTAAATTATGTTCAAGGGACCATTAGCACATTATTTATTCATAAAATGTTTAAGTAATGATTTTTGTGCATCCCGGCATTAGTCTATTAAAAAATATGCCCTTAAATAAAAATGTACAATCTAATTGTTTTGTTTTATATTCATTTTTATTATTTAATATTTCTTCAAATAAGTAAAAATTAAACACAACTTATAAGTACTCACCGGTCATCACCCTCTATTTAAGGCAGAGATTCCCAACCAGGGTGCCGCAAAATTATTTGAAATATTTTTTTAGAAAAAACAATTTCATTAAAAAAAAATTCAATGTAATAATTTGTTTATAAAATGTAATATGTATATAGTATGCACCTACACCTTACTACTTTTGATTATACTTATGCACTAATAAATAGAACTGAAGTACTCTATAGTATAGACTATAGACTATAGAGCATAGGGTGCCTCTGGATTTTTAGAAAATGTCCAAGGGTGCCACGAGTCAAAAATGGTTGGGAACCTCTGATTTAAGGATTGCTAAGCAGGTTTGCACATGTTTTTTTCTAAGCGATATTGGGATTAAAGATAACATGATATATAATGGGGAATATCATAAAATATAATAGATAGACCAGCTCCTCCATTTAAAAGACAATACTACTATATACGTGGTCTAAGTTGTAATTTATAACAAGTATGGTATAGCCGCAGAGTGGGCCATGGCCCATCTGGCTAACCTCTGTGCTTATACCTATGGTAATGCATCTTTTTATTATAATTGACTAAATGTAATAGTATATTATATTTAAATAAATAACAATAAAAATCCTATTGTTATAGACTGTGTTATAAACATACTAAAATATTATTTATAAATAATTTACTAACAATAATGAAAACACCATATACAAAATATTTTTCCTTAATACATAGTAGACAGTAGGTAATTTTATTACTTATCAAAGTATTATTACATAATAAAATTTGCTTTGATCGTTAATTTTGTCTTTTATTTCTTTACGAACATATTTATATGTATTATTAACTTATGTTTATGTCTAAATATTTAAAATTTTAATTGTGATCTTTGTCCGTTAAAATAATTTGTTAGTTGATACAATTTTTAATTCCTGATGGCTTCATTTTATAATATGGTCATATGGTATCACAATAGTTTATGTTATGTATATCTGTAGGGGAATGGATTGCTGCTTAGATATATGGATAGGGTATTCCACAAGGAAAAGGTTATTTAATTATGAGGAATTCTGACCAGTAATACATTTTTCATTATAAAACGGTTTCAACACATTATATACATCTAACCTATATTAGTTCACTTTTATGAGGAATAATTTATAGTCAGTTTTGAAGCATAAATATTTAAAATAATTTAAGTAAATTAAATATGAAAAAGGAATAATAAAATTCACAATAATGTGGTTAAAGGAATAATATTTTTTAAAAATATGAAATTTAGTTTTTCTAGGTACCTATAATTATCTTTTTAAAAACGTTTTGCTCGTTCGGTGTAATCTCTACCCTTTATTTTTCTTATTGCAAATTTGAAAACTTTTTATAGAAATAATATATTTTTGTTTATTATAGGTTTGCTATTGTTTACAACAAATAAAATGGTTATTATGATTGAATATAATTTTAGGCCTGTATTTTATATTTGGTCAAAACCATCTAAATGAGTGTGACTACTAACCAGTAACCACTAATTACTGTTATGACTGTGTTAAATATCTAATAGAGATTAAGATGTGGTAAATCCACAGAAAGTTTTTAACATCACTATGCTGCATCATATAGAGTTGGTATTTTTTAATCGGCAACTAAGTGCACGGGATCAACTATTAATTAATAATTTATTATGAAAATATATAATATTATACTATAATATATTTTACATGCTAAATTTAATTACATATTCACCATCTTCTTAAAGTATATTAATATTATCACTATTATAATGGTATTTTTCACGTATATATGTTTTTGGGCTGTGTACAGATATTTTATTTTTCCAACCGATTTTGTTTTTATGGTTTCTTATTATCAAAAACATATATAATATGGTTCAAAGATTTTGCTTGTAGAAGAAAATATCGAGGAAAATATTGTGTAATGTGCCATGGTTCTTTTTTTTTTTGATCTGATTTAGTACCTTAAATATGCATTTCATAATCTTGAAACTCTTTATTTCCAAAAAACTAATTTAATCAATGTACATGCAATACTTTTCTCTAAATTATAAAGATAACATAACATTGAAAAAAATAAAACACATTTCGGTAAAAATTATATTGTTATAAATTATAATCAAATATTTCATTGTATTATAATTAATTAATTTTATTTGAGAATAATTCATTTATTTTTTTTAGGCCGGAGGTTATTGAGTCAAGATATTAAACATACTTCATCAAAAGTTATTGATGATATTTTAGTTATAACATTAAACACCCCAAATTCAAAAGTAAGTTTATTAATATATAAAAATTGTTTGTTAAATATTAATTAATTATAACAATTTGTAGGTAAATTCCTTGTCTCATGATGTAATGGATGAATTACAAACTAATTTAAACAAAGCGAGCCAAGATCCATCAATTAAAGGAAGTGTTATAATATCTGGTAAACCTAACTGTTTCATTGCTGGTGCTGATATATCTATGCTACAAGCATGTCGTACTGCTGAAGAAGTTCACAAAATATCCCGTGATGGTCAAAACATACTTAATCAAGTTGAAAAATCAACAAAACCAGTAGTCGCAGCTATTATGGGATCGTGTTTAGGAGGAGGTCTTGAAGTAAGAGTTATATTTTAGCTATTAATGAATGAAACCATTAAAATTCAACAGTAAAAAAAACTTTTATTAAAAAACTGTTGTATTAAGTTGTGGTTTATTTATTTTAATGTATAACAGGGACAGTCATATAATATAAATTCTTTTTTAGGTTGCAATGGCTTGTCATTACCGAATTGCTGTAAAAAGTAAAAACACTGGTCTTGGTCTGCCTGAAGTTATGTTAGGATTATTACCCGGTGGTGGTGGTACTCAACGTTTACCAAAATTAGTAGCAATGCCTACTGTATTAGATATGGCTCTAACTGGTAAATCATATAGAGCTGATAAAGCATTAAAAGTTGGTTTGATAGATCAACTTGTAACTCCTCTTGGGCCTGGTTTAAGCACCCCAACAGAAAGGTTTAATTCTTAATTACAACTTCTTTAGATGATTGTATATACTTAATTGTTAATTAGTAATGACATTATTCATTTATTACAGAACATTAGAGTATTTAGAAGAAATTGCTATCGATGCAGCCAAAAAATTAGCTGCTGGTCATAAATTAACAAAAAGGAATAAGAACAAGACTTTGATAGATAAAGTAATTGATTTAGCTTTACAACAAGAATGGCTACGAGAAAAATTTTTTGATAGTGCTAAGGGCAAGGTTTTAAAAATGACCGGAGGTCTATATCCTGCTCCATTAAAAGTAATTCTACATATTTTTTTAAAAAACGGTCGACATACTGCGTGCAAAAGTTAAAGTGTTATTTGACAATTTTAGATAATCGATGTCATCAAAACTGGAATTGCTCAAGGTACTACAAAAGGGTATGTTGCAGAGAGTAATGGTTTTGCTGAATTAGCTATGACACCGCAAAGCAAAGGTTTAATTGGATTATTTCAAGGCCAAACTGAATGCAAGAAAAACAAATTTGGAGAGCCTAAAGTGGCTTTAAAGTTAGTAAATTTGTTTATACATTATTAGGTATGAGCAAAAATAAGAAAAGCATTTTTATGAGTTCAAAACACATTCATTTTAATGGATTTATAAATTAATTTGTTACTGTGTTTCAAGTTTCAACATTTATCAACTGTTTTTCCGATATACAATTATTTAATCAAAATATATTTATTTCATAGAACTGTTGGTGTTCTTGGTGCTGGTTTAATGGGTGCTGGAATAGCTCATGTGACTGTTGATAAAGGTTTACAAGTAATACTTAAAGACACAAACAAAGAGGGTCTTGCTAAAGGTATTGCACAAATTGAAAAAGGTCTTACTGGTGCAGTTAAACGCAAGAAATTAACTGCGTAAGTACTTTTATTTTTTTTTATTATTAAGTCAATTATAATGTTTTAGCTATAATGACTTCTTACACGCACACGATGTCTCTGTTTGATTAAATTGTAAAATACCAAAATGTATGTTAAGTAATTCCTATTTTGTGTGGTTAGCTTTAATAATAAATTCAGGGTAAGAATATATAATATATAATATCTGTTATAATATGACGTAATTTCTCGTTTTTTTAATTTCAATATTTTTAATTTTTAAGTGAATTTTAAGCGTTTTTAATTATTAATATTTTACATCATCATAACTTGCTTGGAAATTAAAATATCGTAGAAATCCAACAAGAGAAATCAGATAATGTTTTTAGCCTAAAGTTGGATAATAGACAATTTACCCTAACAGCTAACTATACATAATTGTAACTACTCATGTAGATTTTGGTGTGTTTTGCGTTCATGAGATGTAAACAAAACAAGGGGATAAGATCCTCTTAAGATTTTTTTAATGTAATACACTGAGTTCACAATTAGTTGTCCAATTGACTGTATTCACAATTAATATTATTTTATTGTGAAACTAATGGTGTGTATAATTTCACACATTTTGAATTAGTGCTCAAAATATTAAAAACTTTCAAATAATTTTATCTTTAAAACATATTTTGTATTATTTTATATTATACACATTTTATAATATTTACTATAGGATAGAAAAAGACAGATATGTATCTGACTTGACAAGTACATTGTCGTATGAATCTTTTTCAAAAGCTGATATTGTCATCGAAGCAGTTTTTGAAAATATAAAGATAAAGCATCAAGTTATTAAAGAGCTTGAACAAGTTGTACCAAAACACTGTATTATTGCAACTAACACAAGTGCCATACCAATTGGGAAAATATCAGAGGGTAGTAGCCGTCCTGAAAATGTAAGTTTTTACTTAAATTTAACCATCAATTGTTCTTGACTATGTCCATTAAATAGTATTAAATTAAATAGGTACAAGTCCAATTTTTTTTTTGTTTTAGGTTAAATATTTTATTAAATATTTGAATAAAACTTAAATATAAAATGTGAAATCCGCTTTGTAATGTTCATATTATAATTTTTTTAGTATTACTAACAATTATATATAAAAGATACATTTTTAATTAGGAAGTTTGCTGAAAATTGTTTTTAATTTATAGTAAAAATATCTATAGTTAATGAATAGTGCATAATGATATAATAATTCAATTTTATGAAATTAAGTTATATGATATAACTAGCTGATCCCGTGCACATCGTTGCCCCGTTAAATGTATCATTTCTATATGTCTCAAAGTTTGTTCAATTCGTTATTTAATATTCGGTGTATGCGGTGTTCAAAATTAATCTTAACTTTTCCGTTGCCCCGAATAAAAATTCTGATTCGCAACAGTAATCTACCTGCGATAGATGACCCTGTGCTGTTTGTACGTAACTGTATGATTTAACTCTAAAGTATCAAAGTTATACCAAGCTTATCGTTTTTACTTAATTTCGCCTAAGATGGATTATTATAATCATTTTATACAAAATCCTATCCTAACCTAACCGTACTAAAATCCGATGAAAAAAAAACAAATTTAACCCTTAGTAAATTAACCTATCTTCTTCCCAGACATCTAATCTACCCACAAACATTAATATATATATATATAACTATATAAATACACGGACTATAACTATACAGACTCTGGAACTACTTATTAGATCTTTTTGTATTTATTATATATAATATATATATATATGTATATTGACAAAAAATAATGATACAAATCAAGAACATGCCCGATTAACCAATAGCAACCAATATATTATACACCGGTGGTTTTTCTAACATTTTTTTTTCATACAAACCTTATCCATGAAATACTCTTTCGCTTAAAAAAAAATCAAGAAGATCTAAAAGGAGCTCCAGAGATAGGTAGTACAGAGATTTTCATTTCACATTTTTATAGTTAGATATTAGATTACAATTTATATTTAAAAAGTAAAGCAAATAGTTTTTTTTTTTTATTTTTATTATTGTAATAGCTTAAAAACCCATGGCAACCATTTATAAACAAAAATGTCCATCGGAAATCTCAAAATTCCCGTTTGAGCACCTCCCGGGGTTGGTCCTCTCCCTTTTTAAATTAGCCTATCTTTTAAGTTTGACCAAATTACACGCGGTGTAAAAAATTTCATCAAAATCGGTTAAGTGGTTTAGGAGTCCATTGAGGACAAACATTGTGACACGAGATTTATATATATTAAGATATTATTGAAAAAGAAAATAAAGAAAAACTTATTTTGGCCGAACAATAATAAAATATGTTCATAATTATATCATTAATCAACAATAATAAATATTTTATTAATATCTTTCATTTGTTATGATTTAGCAGTCATCTACAGGATGTTTCTGAAGTGGATGAGGTAACCAGTGATTTCAACTCAATGGGATTTTTTTTTATCTTCAAATTCTAGGTTTATACAATTTATTTTTAGAACTTTATCTTAAATGTAAAAATAAATAGTCAAGTAGTATTTTTTGCAAAATTCTCATACAAATTGAGTTGTCACATCATTTTTGCGCTTGTCACTCATTTTTCACACTTGAATCGCCGACAAAAAAAATATGGTGTGGTGCATCAATGTGTATGAGGTGGGTTAACAAAGTTTTAAATTTGTATAAATCCAGATTTTGAAGATAGAAAAAAAATTTCAAAATGGGTTTATTGGGCCATCACACTGAGTATGCATATACTACTTTCCTCATCCATTTCAAAAATACTCTGTATAATATGTAAAGAAACATAATATTATGTTCAAAACAAAAATAATATAGTATGTCCTTTAAATGTATACTATGAAAAAATAATTTTCAATCAATTTGAAGTATATAACATTTTTTTCAGGTTATTGGAATGCATTATTTCTCTCCCGTTGACAAAATGCAACTTTTAGAAATTATAACGACTGATAAGACTTCAAAAGAAACGGCTGCTGCTGCCGTATCTTTAGGTTTAAAACAAGGAAAAATTGTAATTGTAGTAAAAGATGGCCCAGGATTCTATACGACACGTATTTTGAGTACCATGTTATCAGAAGCAATGCGATTATTGCAGGTATGGTCCTTAAAATCAATAAATATTAAAAAACACTTCATTTATTTTATACAATCAAGAGTAATCTCAATTTTAGGAAGGTGTAAATCCAAAACAATTAGATACAATTACTAAAAGTTTTGGATTCCCGGTTGGTGCTGCAACATTATCAGATGAAGTTGGTATTGATGTTGGTTACCATATAGCAACTGATTTAGCAAAGGTGTTTGGGGAACGATTCAGTGGTGGTGACCTCAATGTCTTAAAAAGCATGGTGGATAGTGGCTTCTTAGGTAAGGGAATTTGTTGAGATTTAGCTAGAGGTTCTTACATTTTTTTGCGCTATTAAATTCTACTTTTAAATTTGATAAAAGGTCAAATCACTTTAAATTACATTAAGACTAAAATTTTTTTTTAATATTTTATTTAAAGTTCATTGATTTATTATTGTATTATTATATAATACATTTTTTTAGTAAAAATCTGAAATAAAAATAACTATTATTCAACAAGATTATGAAAAATTTTAAATAGCCTCATGCATGGTGTCATATATTCGATGGGTGTACCATGAGCTGTCTATGTTTTAAATGTAAAAGTTTCTCGATTTATACAAATGATTTCAATAACTAGGTAGTATTATTATTTTTTTTTTTAATCCTAAGTTTATTTATGTGTTCAAGACAATAGTGTGATTGAATATATCTCATTATTGAACACTTAATCCTAAGGCTAATAAAAATTTGTAAATTGAGCCTCAACACGTCACGGCCACAAATCAAATTATACAAATTTTATAAAATTTGTTAAACGGTTTTAAATATTATGAAACAATTAGAAAGTATATGAAAACTTTAATCATACCAGTGTCACATACACATAAATACATTTCAGAATTTACTTTCAAATTAAATCTGTCATATTAATCTTTTACACGTATAACTAAAATCATTGAGTATATATTGTGTAGAGAAACAATTTTCAATATATTTTTATGCTACGCTTAAAATTAGTTTATTGACACTGACAACAGAGCGCTCTACCAGTAACTAACAATATTATTTTAATTTTTATTTTTGTGAAATTAATTAATATTATATTATTACTGGTATTTTATTGTTTGACATAATAATAATAATATAATAATTCATTTTTCCGCTATATTGTACATTCTAGAATAAAGGTTGTTATTATAATAATTAATTTGACTCTGGCGATTGTACAATAATTATTAAAAGGTAGAATTACTACACTGTTTTCGGCTCCGCGACAAATTTTTCCATGTGCTATATATTAGCCGCCTCCCTGGACATTTTTTATAGTATATTGTTTCTCTATACAATATATTATACTCAGTGCTAAAATTATACATTTATACCACTTTTCAGACTTCGACTTGCACGCATTTTTCCTAACACTTGTATCTCATTTTATAATTAGATTTAAAGTGTGGAACCCATACCATATTTCTTAGTTATTACATACTTTAAATCTAATCACACTAATTTTAGTTTTGTAATTTGTAACTTAAAATTTGCCATGTTATGAGTTATTGAGATGAAGATAAGACATGTATGTACAATGCACACTTAAATAATATTAATTGTTTTTACTCTATTTTAGTGTACATAAAAAAAAAATTATAATATAAAAAACCTGGGACTTAGGTTTTTGAGTATATCTCATCATTGGATTTGTTAAACAAATGTTTGTACATAGACTAGAAAAAAACTAGAATAATAATAAGAAGAATTTTGTATTTAATAATTGTAAACCTTTCAATCTTAAAGAGTAGCACTGCTGTAAATTAGGTGTCTAGAGAGTCACTGTAATGAATTTGTTAAATAATCATTGAGTACGAAAAACAATTCTGAGCAAAGGCGCCTGTTAGCCTATAATATTACTAAGTCAATTTTATGATATTATTGTGATTGAAGTAATTTATTATTGTGATTGAAGTAATTTATTACTATTGGGCATTATACTACAATAGGTTAAATTAATTTTTGCCGAATGAAAATGTCATTGTGTGTATACTGTATACTAGCATTTCCCAAACTATGGGTCGCGACCCGCGGTTACGATTACGCTTATTTCAGTATTTTTGTATTTTTTTATAATTTATTCTAGGTATCTATTTATTATGTATTTATTATAAAGTTTTGTATTTTATAAAATTTCAATGATAAAATTAATAATAATAAAAATATTATTTATTTAAGGTATACTTAATTTAATTTTTTTAGCAGGGGGTCGCGTACCCAATAAATATTTAAAAAAAAAGTTTGGGAAACACTGCTGTATACAATATAATAAATAATAATGTACTCTAAAAGTATCAAGTGAGCATGAATAGTATTTTTAAATTACAACAAAATATATAACAAAATAAACGTTATTTTAGGTTTTAATAAGTAATTTTGTCCAAATTTGAACTTTAAAAAGTCTGTAAAAATAAACTATTTATATATATTTTTTTTAGATATTTTAGTTATAGTATGAACTGTTTGTGAGAAACCTTGTTATAAATGTTCAATTCTAAGGTATAAAAATGTATCATTTTATAATTTTACTACAAAATAATTTGAACAATTTTTAGATTTTGATAAATGTTGTCAGCATTTGAACTTTAAATACTTGTATAAACCACACGGGGCACTTGGGGAGTGACAACAGAAGTGATTACTTCTTATAGCGTGCTGTAACTGTATGTCTTGAAAAAATTATGTTTGCTAATAATTAATTAGTTATTTTTAAATAATACGAGACATTAAATCCTTTATTATTATTAATTGGTTCTTTTTAAATAATATGAAACATTAAATTCTTTATAGTAAAAAGTTTTTTTATTTTAAATTAATTATATATATTTTTTTAGCATTTTTTAAGATTTAAATGTTTAAAACTTAAATTAATACATTTTTATTATTATCGCTTACGCTAGTTAATATTAATATTAATATTCCAATTGAAGAAAGTTTAGTAGTCCAACAGCAAAAATTAATGTGTAATCAAGACATGTACTTTCGCTTATCTCCCAGGAAAAATAATGTTTCTAACAGTTTATTGTTTGATGAACATGCAGAACTTTCTTTTCTATCAATATACCTCGATTAATTTTGTAAATTTAAAGAAGGTATCTCTCTTAAGACATTTATGATGGCAACTAGTGAACTCTGGTGATCTGGTAGAAAATGAGTTATGCCCCATCACTTTAATAATTAACATTTGTTAATTTAAAAATTTAAATCTCGCACAGTACAGTTGGTTTAACTGACACCGTAATTTGGGTTGCCAATATGTATATGTGTGAATATAGTCGCGTCGTTGAACAGCCAGTTTTTGTTGCGCGGACTATAGCGTTCCTTAACACGAAACAAAAGTTTTTTCCCCGTGTAAAACTTACACCCATAGCCCGCCAAAAGAGGTAGTCATTTCAAAAAAATTGTGGCTACGGATTTTTAATGTCTACTAACTGCTATTATAACAACTTGAATTAACCTTGTAATATATTTTTAAGTTTATTTTTAACCTAACATTGACATTTATTGAATAAAAAACTGAAAAATAGAGAATCGAAAATGTTTATAAATAACTCAAAATGAGTTAAAATATTTAGAAAATTGTATCATCTATAGAAATTGATAAAATTAACATTTGATGAAAATGAATTCCTATGGTTAATAGTTATTGAATAAAAACATAATAAGAAAACAGTTGTATGAGAATTTTTTAATTTACAGGTGAATATCTAACTTCAAACGCTCGTAAACAGTTAATTTTTTCTTTGTTAAATGTAATAAAACTTAAGGAAAATCTCATATATAAGTTATATAGAAGTTACTAGAGTTACACTAAAAAACAAAATCAAATAACAATTTTTTTTCCTAACGCTTTTGAAAACTGTTGGCAATTTTTTACTTTTAACCTCCTAAAGTACAACTAGATTCATTTTCATATTGAATCATTTTTACCGTCTCAAAAGGCGATGAGAGACACACAAAAAAAAACACAAATAATTTGTAAAATCAATACATTCCTCAGAATCTAAAATGTATTCATTTCTATGATTTTGACGTAAAATATAAATCCGTAATATTTTGAAGAGAATATTAAAAAACTTATGACTATTTTTGATATTTTTTATTGTTAATACATATATAATTGTTGTATCAAACTATTTGAAATATGATGCATTTTTAATTCTCCTAAAGCGCAGATATTAAAGAAACATTATTGTTAAACCAATACATTTATCACTCTGAATCTAGTAGTATAGTATAATAATCTAATAATAATAAAATAAAAATTCAGTCGATTATTAGACGAATGCGAATATTTAGTCTTGATTACCTAATATTTTTTTTATTATTTTTATGTTTAAAAACTGAAAAATATGTATAAAATATGAATATGTTTAAATTTTTAATAATATTCCGACACCCCTAATAGACCCCATGACATCCCAGTTGAAAATCACTGATAATGATTGTTCTAATAAAATTAAATACCCATGTAAAAATTAAAAATATTTTGATAATTGTATTTATTTTTTTATCTTATTACATAATTTTAGGAAGAAAATCGGGTAAAGGTTACTTTGTGTACAAAGCTGGTACCAAAAGTAGACCAGAAAATACTGAAGCTATCAGTTTGTTGGAAAATTTCAAGCTTCAACCCCTAGGTGAACAATCCATTGAAAATCAACAACTACGTATGGTATCCAGATTTGTAAATGAGGCAGTTTTATGTTTGGAAGAATCAATTCTTAATAGCCCGGTATGCATGACTTGAATATTTATATATATATATACATATATTATAATACTGTTATATTTTATATATTTTTTTGAACTAATTCAAATTAATTGGTAAAATTTAATCGACTTTTCATTACAAAATATATGTTATTAATTAATACTTTGCCATACACATTTTTTCCCCATGAACACGTCAGTAATTAAAAACAGTTTTCAACAAAAGTTCTAATACATTTCTAAATAAATAAGTAATTTTCCTGTTTCTTAATAAAATATTTCCAGTGTGATTAAATGGTATTTATTTAGAATTATAATCAATATAAAATTTATAATAATAAAACCACAAATAATTGATAGTTATTTTAAACACGTTTTCTTTGGGATCCAGTTTACGATTTTTGTGTTTAAACCAGCAATTAAATTTACCTACGTTCATATTTTGTGTCCTACATTTGCAAAGAAAATTTATTTAATTGAATTTTATGAGATAGTCATTATTAAAATATTTTTTTAATATTTTCTATTAAATAAAAAAATTAAAAAAAATTTTAATCCTAATTTTATACTCCTATAAAATAAATTGAGTTCTAAGAGGTCTTTTGTTTTTAACTTCTGTATGTATTCATACATAGTGTATGAACACTATTCTCTATTTACACTCTATAAATTATTTTAGAAGAATAAAATTATTAGAAAACATTAAAATAAGTATGTTATAATGTATTTTGCGATCAAATGTTTCAGACTGAAGGTGATATTGGTGCTGTGTTCGGTCTTGGATTTCCTCCGTTTTCTGGTGGTCCATTCAGATGGGTTGATTGGTATGGCGCTGATAAGCTTGTGTCTAAAATGCAAACATTCCAAAACGATTATGGTCTACCATTTAAACCTTGTCAATTATTGTTGGATCACGCTAAGGATAAATCCAAAAAGTTTTATCCATCTTAAGTGAAGATAAACTGTATATTAATTCTTAAGAATTCAAAAATTTATTTGGTTTTCTAAATTTATAATGAAAAGCTTAATAATAAATACACTGAGAGATTATGGAATACGTATGTACTCGTATGCTCGTTATTTTTTTAAATTGTTGGTTTTTTCAGGTGTTAAAATATCTCAGTGATTATTATATATTTATTATTTTATTGATTTTAAGTTTTGTTTGAATAATGCCTATATAAAATATATTTTTTCAAAAATACGTGTACTTTATATTTTTTTACATTTATTAAAAAAACAGTACATTGTAAGTACGTGCAATCTTTATTTTGTATGCATAAAGAATTTTTTGAACAAACTAAATTGAATATGTATAGGTTTTTAGTGTATAACTAGTTTTTAGGAATCAGGATTCATAGTTCAAACTTGTTTTTTATGTGGACTTTCAACAATACATGTTTGAATCAACAAAGATAATATAAATTTTTTTAATAACTTGACGAGTTGATACTTGTATTATTTAATAGTTGTTGATAAAAATACTGTGATACCCAACTTATACTAATAAACAGCTGATTATCCATTTAGTTCCAGCGGCCAGAAGTGAGTGCAGTGTTCGGTGATACAGCACTTCATGGCACATGTTCCCAATAATTTTTTGATATTACAATAACTGTATTACTGCAAACTCTATATCGATGGTGACACGGCAAAAGGGTCTAAGCGACATAATTTATAGTTTTTATTAGAGCCAAAAAACTTTTTTTTGTGATTTATTTATTTTTTTTGGTCTAGATATGCAATAACTTTTTACAGTAAGAGTAGGAAATTTTTTCGTTGAATAATTTTTTTTTTGTTTTTATGTCCTTAATGTTAATATATATTTTAATTATCTTTTGGATATTATTTACTTGTACACGGCAATTTGAATAAGTTTGTTAATTCATTTTGGCGCTTATGCCCCTAAGATTTAGGTACACAAATATTTTTTGCAAAAAAAAAGTATGAAAATTATTAAAATAACATAATGAGTAATGACAAATAATATTATTATTCAATTAAATAATTATATTTAAGACGTTTATTTTAATTAGATAAAATGGTCATAATGAGTTGTATAAGAAGATAAATAACTTTTCTATAAATAATTAGAGATCAATGTAAAATAATATATTGCCAAAGAAAAATTGGCTAGTACATTCATTTTTATATACCTAATACCTATAAGGCTATAACACAACACTCCTTACTAGTACAAAATATTTTGCATAAAAGTTAACTCACCTACCGGTTACCATAAATAATTGGTTTGGCCAATTCTGATCAAATGTTTAAATATATATTCAAATATAAATTAAGATAATAATATTATTGTAAATCAATGTCAGCTATTACCATAGATATCATGAGACAACATCACCCGTCGGTGAATTGTTTTAATGCTCTGTCTAGTACTATAATGTCTGGTGATACCAAACATTGAATATCATAATGAAGTATACATTTATTGATAATAGTAGATGTTATGCTACCCCTACAAGTTTTTAAAGTACAGTACGTTAGTACCTAATCCATACAATATTTATATCAATAACTTTATTTAAATACTTCAAATTTACAATCAATAAAATACAATTCAGTACGACAATAGTTAATAATATTACATTATAATAGTAGTATTGCAATATCTAAAAATAACTAAATTATTTAATTTTAAACATCTTTATTAATCATGTTAGAGGTATATGTCATATTATTGAGTATAGAATATAATACTTGATTATATACAAAACAACTCAATACTCAATGATATATAACAAAAACATTTACTTATTTGATACACTTACATTGGTATAAAATATTTATTTCATTATATAAAATAGATGAAACTTGATTTAAAAATAGAGTAATATATATATATAAAAATGACAATATTAATGAAATACTATACTAAATTATTTGAAGAATGGCTTTGGTGATGTACTTAAAAAAAAATTTATAATGTACAACACAAAAACCAATTACAAATTTACAAAAAAAATGTTTTTCAAGTGAATAATGATATTGAATAGCAGGGAGAATAAACTTACTTTAAATACTGGATGTAAATATGTTGTGTAGAGAAAAAGATACTAAGCTCATACAATATTTTACTTTATCGAATCTTATCATATTATAAATACTAAATAACTTCAGTCGTTGAGCCTTAAATGATTTAACCTATAGCTCTTTTTCTTTTAAAATAATAGAATAATTATTTTAATATAGATGTAATTAAAAAAATTATACTAGAAATATTAATTTTAAGTTCATTTTAGCAATCTTAAATATATATAAAAAAAAAAAAATTAAGTTTGAATATTTATTGAGGATTTGTAAATGTGCCATATGGCTTTTAAATTAATTACAAAAACAGTTGAGATGTAGAATTATACTTATAATTTTATTGACCACAGTCCACAATAACAGAAAAACTACCTAATGAGTAATCTCACATATTTTCTCTATCAGCTATAAGCAAATGTTTTGTTTTTTTTTTTATGTGTTTATCATTGAGAACATGTTCATGTGTCGCCTTATCCCAAGGGCAACCGTTTTGACGAGCATATTTTAAACAGTCGTAGTTTTTATTTTTGACAGATGCTGCACACGTTGATTCATTCCAGCGACATCCGTTTTTATGAGCGTATTGTAAGCAGCTTAGGTTTCCTTTGGCTGCAGCAATATAGGTGATATGTTCATTCCACGGACAACCATTTTTATGTGCATACTTCAAACAACCCAAATGTCCTCTCTCTGCAGCTTTGTAGCTTGTACTTATATCCCATACGCAACCATTTTCAAAAGCATATTTCAAACACTTTAATTGTCCACCCGATGCAGCCTTAGCACAAGCATTAGTGTCCCATGCGCAACCATTCTCATGTGCATATTTCAAACAATTTAAATGTCCATTATAAGCTGACCATGTACAAGTGTCCTCGTCCCACAAACATCCGTTTTCAAAACAATACTTTAAGCATTCCAAATGACCATTAGAAGCTGCCAGCATACATGATCTTTCGTCCCATGGACATCCATGTTTGTGAGCATATATTAAACACTCTAAATTTCCACCTTTTGCAGCACAGTCTGTTGTACTTAAGTTCCATGGACAATTGTTTTCATGTGCGTATTTCAAACAATTTATATGACCATTATGGGCAGCATTGGAACATGTGTGTTTGTTCCACGGGCAACCATTTTCATGAGAATATATTAAACAATCCAAATGCCCATTTCTGGCCGCAGTAGAACATGTCCTAGTGTCCCAAGAAAAATTCATCAGACGGGCAAATTTCAAACAGTCCAAATGTCCATTTTTTGCGGCACTGGCACATACTAAAGTATTTAATCTATTGATATGTTTTGTCCCCTTGGTTATTTGAATAAGATCGTCACAACAACTTTTAATATTGATTTTGATAATATTCCTGGGGACGGTGTTATACCAGTGCTTCTCACTTTCGTTGCACGAATAATACGCTAATTTAGCTAGTGTAAACATGGTGTTTTGTATAACAATTTTATTTATAATTGTACCACAACAATCAATGTAGTCTGAAAAAAAAAAATTAAAAACTTGTTATTATAATTACATAAATGTGATTCTCAATGCTTAAAATGTATAAATATAGACCAAGTACAATTTTAAAAATCATTAGATATGCTCTCATAAAAACAATAAGTATTATCAAAAGGCAATTGATAATATAATTTCATCAAAATTTGTACTTCAAATATCCTTTAAGAATACTGCGATTATATAATTTTTAAATTTTTCGGTTATATAACAAAATACTTATGAGAAACCTTGTTTTAAATTTTTAATTCTTAGCTATAAAAATTGAACAATTAAAAAATTATTAGATTTTCATCAACGGTATGTTTTCTGATAGGAAAGTGAATCTAGTTGGTACTTTGGGGGGGGGGGAGGATAGATGTATAGCAATTTTACTGAGCTACATAATTCAAAATATTTTGACTCGTTTTGAGCTGCTAGCGGACAGTTTCAAATTTCAATTTTAGATTCTGAGTAGAACAATGAATGTATTGATTTTACAATGATGTGTGTTTTTTTTTTTTTTATTTTTTTTTTTGTGTCTGTCATCACCTTTTAGGACAGTAAAAGTGCTTGGATTTTCTTCAACAGTATCTTTTCTGATAGGAAAGTGAATCTAGTTGAACTTTGGGGGGTCAAAATTCAAAATTCACAGTAGTTTTCAAAAGCCGCTTGAAAAACCAAATAAAAATTAAGGAAAACCTGGAATTTTTACACTAATATCTGTTTTCAAGAAATCGATTTTGGTTTTTGGTGTAACTTTAAAACAAATGACCGTAGATAAGTGAAATTTTCACTGGTTGTTTATATTTGCATTTACTATACACGATAACATTTTAAAAATATTTTGATTTATTTTGAACTGTTTAGGGACATTTTCAGTTTCCAATTTTATTATTTTTTTTTTTTTTTTTATGAATATCAATAAAAAATAATTATAAGTTGGTTAAAAAAGCTTGAAAATTTAATAGAGGGCTTCTAGTATATTGTTTCAAAGGCAGATGCAAAATATTAAAAATCCTTAATCAGTTTTTTTTTATAAGCATTTTAAGTCCAAAAATTGACAAAATATGGAAAAATCACGAAATGTAGCAAATTATTTTGAGTTAAGAATTCGTAAAAATTTTTCTTTTTAAATGTAAGATTTTAAAATGTGATACAAGATTCTTCATAAGATTATCTGCCTTTATCAAGAAAAAAATGTCTATAAGAAAGTCAAATTAAATTTTATGAGCGTTTGAAATTCAAATTTTTACAACATTGGGTTTTCACTCGATTTCTCATGTAGCGATTTCCTTATTTTCTTGTAATTCAAAAACGAATAACTGTAGATACATGAAAATTTTACTGAATGTTTGTATTAGCATTTCCCTTACACCATACAATTTTGAAAATATTTTGACTCTTTTTGAGCTGTTTACGGACATTTTCAGTTTCTAATTTTTTTAGTTTTTTATTCTATAAATATCAATAAAGTTTTATCGGTTGGGCCAAAAAGTGTAAAAATTTAATACAAGGCTATTACAATATCAGTTGAAAAATATTAAAAATACATAGGCACAATTTTTTTTTATTAGCATTTAAAGATCGAATTTTGACAACATTTTTCAAATTTAAATTTGAATAATGATTTTGTAGTAAAAAATTTATAGAATGTTCAACTTTTATATCTAAGGATTGAAAATTGAACACAAGATAGGACCACGTAAGTAGTTAATTCTGTTACCAAAAAATCTAAAAAATACATACTCACAGTTTATTTTTATAGTCATTTCAAGTTCAAATTTGGATGAAACTATGTACCTAGTTAATACCTATTATTGGTCGATATTTAATTTGCTAAAAAATAACTTAGTAAAATAACCTTTCCAAACCAAATCAACAAAATTTCTTTAAAAAGCTTACTAGATTTTACCCACAGTTAACGTTTGATATTTTAGATTATTTATTTTAGATATTTTAGATCTTCTAGATTTATCCACTATAGTTGATATAAATGTTAATTCATTCACAACCGATCTATCTTTAATAATATCGAGTACTTTTTTAACGCATTGTTCCTTGTCTTCTGCAAGATTTTCAAGTACCTTTTGGTATTTTATAAAATATTCCTTGTAATATAAAGCAGCAACTATCCACGTCTGTCCCCCACCATTATTTTTACCATTATTGATTAAAATATTAATATTTGGAAATAATTCAAGACATTTTTCAGCAATTAGATACCAATAGCATGTGCAATACAAGCCAATAAGCCATATATATATGTGTGTGTGTGTACCATATTAGAATAAAACAACTTCAAAGATTTTCCTGATTTTACCATGTATGGAGCAGAGTCTGTTAATAAGAGTAATACGCGTCTTTCCATGCCTACATCGGTCTATAATTATTTTAATGAGTCGTTTATGAATTGACTAATAGTTTCGTTATTAGTTTTATTTAATTGTTTGGATGCCAAAAGATAAGGCCGCCCTGCATAATCCTTGTTTAGGACACCCACAAGTAAATGAACGATGTATAAACCATCAGTGGTCTCATCAACTACAACGTAAATATAAAGTTGTTTCCAATTTTTTTTTATTTCGTTCATTGTCTTTTGATAACAAATTGATAAATAATTTTTGCATAATGCGCTTATGTAATGGTATGTTAGTTGAAGTCAATGCTCTACATAAATTTAAGTTGAATGACGATATTTTTGTGTTTGATATTAATAGAGATGTAAAATTAAAGTAAATTTTTTTTTTGGTTATTTACCGAGAAAAATTTACGTAAATTCTATTTAAGTAGGTACCTACCTTTACTCCGTATAGGTATAAGTGTATAACCATATTGAATTCTCAACAATAAATAAGTGATAATTTGTGAAATACAGATAATACAACTTATATAAGATTCAGTAAAATATAAAATTATTTTGATTATTTTACAGCATTTTGCATTGAAAACCGTCAATTATGCGTTTAAAAATAAAAAATGGTAAATATATCATATATGGTTCTATATGCAAAATAAAATGTTGATATTTTGAATATAGATATCAAGAAACATATTTGAATGGATGCTATCGGAACACCCAAAAAAAATATGCAAAATCATAAACAACCTAACTCTACGTATTATATATAGTATATACCTAGAACAATACAATCCCTGTTTCAACACCACGGACCGTACAAAGTGATAGTAGAAGTTTATTATAGGTACTCACAGTTACTTATAGTAACCATTATAAGTACCTAATGAACATTGTGATATGATTAATTTGGAATTTATTATAGGTCAATTTTTTTTAATACCATAGATGAGTATATAATATGCCTTATACCTAGACTGACATACCGTTTTTCTTATACAATGATATTATATCATTGAATTCAAATTTAATACTATCCATTATACAGTGACCCACTTGTAACCTACAACTGTACAGCAGATCACCTTTTTTTTTTAGTTGTTTTTTTCTATAAATATGAACACAATTTTGAGAGTGGAGATTTAATACAAGGCCCCTGATATATTGTTACAATAGCAAATTATAATTATTAAAAATACATAGGCACGTTTTTTTTTATAATCATTCAAATGTTGACGAAATTTATCAAATTAAAAATTTTAAAAATGTAAGCTAACAGTTATCTGCTGAGAGTACAATTTGATATGTAATGCGTTTGTTAGACAGAGAGAACGTATGAGAGTGTAGCATCCTTTTAAAGGTAATTTTAATGATATCAAAGATAAATAATTTATTTAAATGCATACATATTGTCAAGTTATAAACAATAATTACAAATTTTGCAAAATAAGTCAAAATCCTCCATTATTATTTTATCTAATGATATTTATGTTTGCACAAATTAATTATTTCTGGGTATAATTAACAGTTTTAAAATGTACTTTTATGATTTTTTAATTTATTATAGGTATATCTATTATTTAGAGATTATTCACCTATTCCAGAAAATGTAAATTTTAAGAGCAGATATGTTCTTTACTGAATTCCATTTCAGGGTCTGCTACATATCTTATCTTACTCCTACTCCCTGGTGGTCAAACTACATATGTTGTCAAGTTCCCACAGTACAATACGGTACATGCAAATGATTTATATATCCGGTCGGACGAGTATATGATCCTGCTTTGACATGATAATGCTATTGTTTTGCTGTTTATGCTCAATATTATTATGTTTATACTTAAAACAAATTAACTTCCTATGCGGAATATATTTATAATACAAAATAACATTAAACATCAGTTTATATTGCTACTAGTCGATTATACTAATTAAATGAAAATGTACCCTACGTCCGAAATATAATATATGGATGTGTACAGAATCTACAGATTACACGTTCTACCTGTATTATAAGCTTGCATCATAGTTTAAATTATATTATATTGTACACATTATCAGGGATCATAGCTTCATAGACTTATAACATATACATTTTAAGTTTATAGTTTAAACTAGCTTTTAGAATGTATTGTTGCAACCAATTGAGATATTACAAAAAGTAGGGAGAGAGAAGCAACTTTTATTAACATTAAATTAAAGCGAGCTGCTCACTTTAAGAGATGCCAATAGACACAGCATACGTCTTAATCATTACATAAATACAAAAGGACAAAGTGAAATGTACAGTATTAGATAACAATAGTAATTAAGAAGTCCTAACAAGGAGAGACTCGGTTAATAAACAACAAAACATTACAGACTTAGTGCCCATATAACAATCGTTAAACTAAGGGTAAACCACCGAATTCGGCCAATAAAATCAGTGGGTTGAACGTAACCGAGATTTAATTATGACTTTAAAACGGCCCTTAGTGCTCATATTACAATTGTTTAACTAAGATTAAACTGTCTATTTCGGCTGGTAAAATGAGTGGGTTAAGAGTAACCGAGGTTTAAACTATGATCAGACGAATTCGGGGGTTTC